GTGGACCGACGTACGTTTCCCTTCTGCTTTCTGAGGATCATAACAGGACGTCAGCTCTGTGCTTTGCTGTCTGACTCTGTGCTTTACTCTGACAGAAAATGAAAGTCTATCTGAATTCTGACCAAGCTGTTACTGCCAAGGATCTGCTCAGCATGTTCTCATCTTTTGGATGTGTCATCTCTGTTCAGGTAACTGTCTTACAAACGTGCTTTAGAAATGCAAAATTCACTTTCATTTGCTTCACGATTTTCCTCTCGTACTTCAGACGATTGTGAAAAACAATCACAGATACGGGATGATGCATTACCGCAGTGCCGATGAAGCTGCCGTGGCTTTGAGGGAAATGAAGAGCAGCACCAAAGTCTTCTTCGTAGCTCAAGTAGGCATCAGGGAGGTCAGAGAGGGCCCCAAGGATAAAAGATCCGAACGTCCCCATCGAGCACCACCAGGCAGCCCACTGCACAGACGTCCCATTCTGTGGGAACCACTGTTTCCAGCTTACAGACAGGTAATGAAACATTTGGACTCCCACAAAAAAGAAAAAAAATCTAAAGGTTTGTTTTTTTTATGGCTGATGATGGATGTTTTGATAATTTTATGAAATCTTTTGTTTTTCTCTCGTCAGACTGTGTCTATTGAAATTGATAACCTCCCACGATCTTGGTATGAAAGAGACCTGCTGCTCAGCCTCCTCCCTCCGACCACCATTGATGTAAAGGTGCTTACTCGCCAGCATTTAAAAGCACTGATTCAGAGAAATACATATGTACACAGCACTGAAAGTTTTAAATACTGTTTCTATTGTTTTAACATGTATGCTCTGTATTATGACCGTGCAGATATTTAAGAGAAAAGCCTGTGTGGTCTTGCCGGACTTCTCCAGTGCCTTGAGGCTCAGAGATTTGTTAAACAGTGCCCTTCACCACCTTCGCTTTATCTTTTCACCTCGTGGAAGACGGAGGTGCCCCACAGTGAAGATATCAGCAGCCGGCACCGTGCTCTGCTCTCGGTGACCTGTGACCTCTGCATGCTGTTACATATACAGATCAACACAAAAGCAACAATAACACAACTTCAGTATAATAATAAATGTAAATGCTGCTGTAGAGCTGGACCCATTATTTCTGCATTACATGTGTTACATGATTAAAACCAGAGAAAACAGGAGCTTAAAAGATGGGAAACAATAACACAACCAACATGCACAGTGATCATGGAACCTGAGTGGGATATATTAGAGAGCAAGTGGCCATTTTTTCCTCAAAGTTGCTGTGCTAGAGTCAGTAAAAAGCACAAGGTCCAAAATGTGATGGCTGGATGGCTGGGTCAGCTTTGGGCATCTCCAGATCTCCAGTTCTTGTGGGGTGTTCCTGGTCTGCAGTGGTCAGTATCTATCAAAAGTGATCCAAGGAGGTAACAGTGGTGAACCAATGATCATGGGCCAAGACACTGATACACATGGTGAGTGAAGGCTGGTGGTCCAATCCAGCAGACAAGCTACTGTGGCTCAAACTGCACAAAAAGTTAATGCTGGTTCTGATAGGAAGATGTCACAATACACAGTGTATCGGTTTGCTGTGAATGGGGCTGCATAGCCACAGACAAGTAAGGCAAAACTGGTAGTAAGCAAAAATGCTTCAGGAACGGTTTGAGGAGCACAACAACGAGTTTGAGGTGTTGACTTGGCCTCCAAATCCTCCAGGTCTCAATCCAATCGAGCATCTGTGTACCGGGCAAACAAGTCAGATGCATGGAGGCCCCGCCTCACAAGTTACAAGACTTAAAGAATCTGTTGCTAACATCTTGGTGCCAGCACAAGGTCTTTGTTAGCAACACAACACAGTTTTAGGCAGGTGATCATAATGTTATGACTGATCAATGTATAATCAGGATGCATTGTGTAATACAGGAATTAGAAACACACCTTGCCACTGAACAGTTGACAGAATAATTATAATAATTTTGTTTTCTTTTGGCCCCTGTTACATTTTATTTAAAGCCAAGGGACAAGTTGCTGTTTTTAATCAACTGAGCAGCTTTTTGGAATTAAACAACTGCTTTGATGTCTTACAATTAGCAGTTTAACCACGTTTAACCTAAACATAGTGAATGGCAGATTTTAGTATCACAGGATCTTAGTTCTGCAACTGAGACCATCGACCACAAAGCAATAACAGATCAGATGGCAAACTGTGTGGGACTTCCTGGGACAATGCTAAAGGAGTTTGAGTCCTACTTAAAGGACTGAGATGGCTTTGTGTCTGGATAATTATTAGAGTCTCGAGTTTAATGTGAATGGGTTTTCTGTGAACTCAATTCTACTTTCAGGAGCTGCACTGAGCCCGTGCTGCACTTCTGCACAACAACCACTAGATGGACCATTGGATTCTCCGAAGCAGCCGCACAGGCTGAACATGGAATACCGGTACGTATACTTTACATTATTGTTTCTTTTAATGTTAACTGGATATTTTTCTCAGTTATAAATATTTCTGACATACAAAAACAAATAAATCACTTTTACCTCATTCTATTTCCATTTTAATTTTATATTATAGCACTTATATCACACATCAACTGAGCAGGAAATTGATTTTGCTAGACTCACTCAGCTTATAAGGTACAATAAGTAATTTTTTCAGGTTATGTAAAGAAAAAAAGGAATGTTGTACTCATAAATATACACTGATTAGTGTTTAATTACATCATCCATCAAATTCATGCATTGTCATAAACTTAGAATGAAACCATTAAAAATACATGGGGGCAGGCACTGGTTTGCATGTTATGCTGACTTCATGTATACAGTGACTGAGGTGGATATTGCTGTTATGCCCAGTTGTGTTTTTTTGTCTGTGGCTTGAGACCAGTAACACATGTAGTATGTCTTAAAAGTTACTTTTAATTTAAAGACCACAAATACTTCTTTCAAACTATATGTGACCATTTAATATTTTTATGTGTATATTTTCATCGTCCTTCTCATTATTCCTCCTCAACTCAAGCGTCATCTCCTTAACTGAAGTTGAAATCGTGAATGAATATGTTTGGTTATTCTCAATACTGTCGCAATTACTTTGTCAGATGATAAACAGTTTGATTAAAGTATCAGATCGTGTAAGAGTTTATTCACTAAGTGGCCGAGTCCATTGATGTTAGATCAACAAGACAGTTTCAAGTTTATTACATTGGCTAACAGCAGCTAACAGCAGCTAACAGCAGCGCTTACTGACAGAATATTCTGGAATATTCTCCATAACTCACCTTGGTATCGCTGAAACGGACACGTGAGCTTCACTGATTCATTGATGTCACAACGAACGAGTGAACTCAGGCGCAGGACTCTGTTGATGTTGAGAATAAACAGTTTATTTACACGATCACCGAGTGCTATATACAAAGTGCGTGGGGAATAGGGCTCCAGGGAATCCAGGGAAGGAGGGGGAAAGCCACACACTTCTTTGGCCACACACACCACTCACCAAAACAATCAAGATTGCAACTCCAGGGGTGGAAACGGGGATGGGTCCAAGAAGATCTATGTACAGGGGAAGACAATTAGAAGCCAGGGAAACACGAGAAACGACGATACACAGGAAAGAGTCGGGGCTACATTGGTGAGTGTCGTACAACGATCCAGTGATGAGAAACGCTGAGCTGTCGCCTAAATAGTGGCTGAAGTTCAGGACAATGAGCTGCAGGTGCGTGATTACTTGCAAGGGCATGGGCCAGAGGTGGGAACCCCAGCAGAGGCGAGCGAGAGAGAAAGGCCAGAGAGAGAAAGCAACAACAGCAACACCGAGATCGCTGGGGAGACACAGGGAACCATGACAATCGAGGCATATCGGAGTCTTTTCGGAAAGTTTTACAGCCTCCTTCGGAGAAATAGATGTGGCATAAACAGCTAACTGACAGCAAACACTCGCTACAATTGTACTGTTGGCCGAGTTGTTTGTCCTACAGTGGCCACCATAGACAGGATTATGCACTTAAATTGGGAGGAGTAAGAAAAAAGCATTCAGTTAACCGTAATCTGCCATGTACTGACATCTAGTGGTTAGATTTTACACGTTGTACCGTTAAGAAATCACAGAAGTCCCATAACCAGTTTTTTTTATAGCTACTTAAATAACTTTTTTCTTTTTAATGTGATTCTTCGTGAGATGAAACATTTATTATTCACTCCTGAACAAAAGTATTTACTGGCCAAAAGCTGAAGTCATAAGGCGGGTTGTAATTTTTCTTCTATAAAAGCAGGTCTGAGGGTAGAAACTCATTGAACCCGTTAATCCTCACTTAGCAGAGCTCTACATTTCTTCCTTTTTTTTCCTGGCCCATAACCTCAGGCTGCATTTACAGTGGTTTTTCTGGACTGTTTACCTTTGGCTAGGTTCATTTGTACAGGTGAAAGCACTGGAAAGGTGAAAGCAACAACCAGCAAACACAGTGACACACCCATCCATCTGTCTGTCAATAACAGCTGTACTGAACCTTCTGTCTTTCTGTGTCATATTCCTTCCATGTTTACCTATCATGATTAGCTATCTGCTAACATCTCTCTTCCTGTCTTATCGCCTGCAATTGACACTTATCTTTACGATTATTGAGCTTATTGAAGCTATTTTTATACATGGGCAAGGGCCCAGAGGCAGTTACATTTTTAGTTCAGTTGGAAGTTGGCTTATGGAAGTTTTGAGGGATTCAAAATTCCCCTTTGGTTCGGGTTACGAGTTTTGCATAAACAAAGCGAGTTGCTGTTTATCAGTGGAAAACACTGCATCTAATTAATCAAACTATCTTTCAACTGTCATATCGCTGACTTTCCCCTCATCTGCCTGTCTGCCATCTGCTCTGCAGCTACTTCAATAATAGCTTGCAGCTGCATAGGAAGGTGGGGATGGGGTGGGGGAGAGAGTGGGTGGAAGGAAAACCCAGAGGGGTAAAAGGAGGGCACGCAGGCGAGCTGGGAAGGAGGGAGGAAGGAGGGGGCGGTGAAAGCAGAGCTATGATGCAGACAGCAAATCACATGAGCAGGGATCTGTTTACAAACTGAGACCTTTAGACAGAGAACGTGGGGAAGAGAGACGAGGAAGGAGAGTGAATGTGAGAAGAAAAGAGAAAAAAAAGAAACCACAGGCGGAGAGAGGAGACCCTAGGTTTGAGTTACCATTGGCTGCATTGTCTTCCTGCATTGACATACCTCCCCGTGTTCTGTGTTCACAGCAGGAAGCCGGGGGAAGAGATGAGTTGCTGCTTTCCACGGGAACACTGAGAGGCTGCCTGCCTGCTTGGCTGGCTGTGCTGCCGGGAGAACCCGTCCACGTCCCTCCCTTTGTCTCTCCATAATTGGCAACGGCAGGTTTTCACAGCCAGAGAGGACGAAAGCGGCGTGGAGATCTAAAAGGAGCGGACAGAGGAGTGAGAAGAAAGGGAAAAGAGAACAGAAGAAGAGGAAGGGAAGGACAGCCTTGTCACAGTGTTTTGAAGGGGGAAACAAAGCCAGAGGATCATAACAAAAGTGCTGTATGGGATTTGGAATACATTTCCTTGTCTTGTCAGTGACATTGGTGTCTTCTCATCAGCACAACTCGGATTCTTTGTCATTTGTGGGGAATGCACAAAGGAGCACTTTAGTTTCTACCTCTGATACATTCGCAGCCGTCTGGGAGTCAAAATCTCACATAAGTGGATGTTTTTTATGACATTCATGGGGTAAAATCATCCCAGCAGACTGAAACATTGTGTTCAAGGTCCTAGGTGTCTCTGATCAGGTGTACTGACTCTAGACCACAAGGATTTAACACAGGTATAAGAGGAACCTGGAGGCGGACATCATTTTCAGTGCTGGAAACAATCCCAGAAAAGTTGTGCAAATCATAGTTTGTGATACTGGAACGGCTTACTGGGTTTGCTATATGAACATTTGATGCATCCTGTCCACTGGTGTAACGGTAAGTGACCTGGAGCCAGTTTGCCCTCCTAAAAGAGTTATATTAAGCTGTTCCACCACGATTTCCTTATACATAGTCAACTGATTTTGATTGGATAATGCTACTGGTGTTTTCTAGCAACTGATTTATACATTATTAAGCTGTTTGTAGGTAAGACATGTTTATATATAATTGTTACTATGAGGTGAGGAAGGACTTTCCAGTCACTAGATTAGTGAAGAGCTGACCCAACCCTATCCTGATTTCATGAAGTTATGACAACAGTAACAACTAGGCCACAACATGTTTTACTATTTTTATAATTTTAAAAAAAATGACTGCAAAAAAGTTTTTCCTACTTAATCATCTTAAAGATTTTTATGCTACACATTTCTACAAATTTTCCATCCAAAACACATCAAAATAAAACTAGTCATGTTTAACAATGATATAAGCCTATCCCCAACTAATGCATGTGCACAGTAGCCTAGCCTTTAGTGCTCCACTATCAATGATTTACTAGCATCGTGCTAAGATTACCTCCTTCGTCCAGACGTCCTCCTTAACCCTCCTCCTAAAACCCCCTGAGACTGTCACCTGCTGCAGTGACCCTTGTCCATTAGAGAGTGACTTCTGAACCAGACTTCCTCCACTGTAGCTTAACTTCTTGCACTTTAGTCTTGTGAAAACATTAATTACTGTGGTTTAAACCTGACGTTTGTTGCATGGAATGAAAAGTGCCTTGCTCAAACCCCTCAGGCTAAGAACTTGTTTCTCCCCAAGCTAAACTAAGGGGTGTTGGGCCAAAAAGCAAGTAGAACACATTCCTTTGTGATGCAAGGAGAGATATAAAAGTTCATATTAAAGTCGGTCTATTTTAGGGTGTGGAAAGCTGCTTGTTTTCTCTGTCTTCATCATGAGGATAGCAAACATCACCAGAAACAAAAATCTGACCCCAAAATCCCACAATACTTTCCCACAACTTTCCCCTGAATTCAAACACTCTATCTAAGAATGCTAACAGGGTAAGCAGTTTGCAATTTGAGACAAGAGGCTACACAGATGTCGTGTGCAGCTCGTGTGCCAGGCTTTACAGACTGCACAGACACAAGAGTGCACCCCCTAAAACCCAACCCTACATCCACTGTGGAGTAGTGATGGGTCGGTCGCGAACGAAATGGCTCTTAGAGCCGGGTGTTTGACATGAACGACGCGAGCCGGCTCCTTATCGCTAGCCGTGGGTTTTTTGTTGTTTTGTTTTTTCTCTCTCACCCTCTCTCGCACTTTTTTCCCGCTTCACTCAACATGCGAGCCTTGTGCTTTATGCTGGGCAGAGGGGGGGAGGGGCGGTAGTTATGCTCAGTAGCACAGGAACAGAGCGGGAGGGAAAGACAGAAAGAGCCAGGGACAAAGGATTCAGAAAGTTTATTCATGCAGGTCCATATGACAGAGAATATACATGTTCTTTTTATTTTCATATTATAATTTATATTTAATTGTGTTGTGGTTTGCAGTGTTTTGTGGTATTTCACTTTAAATTTGTAAAAGGAAAAAGCTGAAAATTTAAATAGTTAAAAGTTGAAATGTGAATAGTTTATTTTTGTATTATATGATTTATTTATTACATTTTATGTGGAGTGAATAAATAAACGTATATTTACAGTGGCCCCTAGAGACAAAGCGCATACAAACTTCAAATCACATACGAACTCTGAAACACGTACAAACTCCAAAGCATGTAAAAACTCAGAAGCACATAAAAACTCAAAACACGTACAAAAGACAACAGAAGTGCTCCAGGATGTTAGGGGCAGTGTTGAGCTTTTGTTACCTAGTGGCTACACAAGCCAGCAAGTACCAACCACCGGATTTGGTGTGTGGTAATAACAGGTAAATTAACATTTTTTTTTAAATTATTTGACTATATATGAATGCTTGTGTATAAATACATAAACAACACACATATGCTTTCATGCTTTCAATTGTGTAATTTAAGTGATCTAGGTAGCTCTGTTTTGGAAGTTCAGTTCATGCTAGAAATGTGTTTTGGAGTTTGTACGTGTTTTGTCTCTAGGGGCCACCGCATATATTTATATATAAACATATATAAATAAAACCACTTTTTTTGTACATTAGTAATTCCTTTTGTGCATAATTTTATATTATTGTTAATAATAAGTTAATTAAAGCAACAAAACAACCTGAAGAGCCGGTTCGGAGCTGAAAGAGCCGGCTCTTTTTAGTGAGCCCAACCGAAACCTCTGGTGGAGCTGGGTGGTCTAATACTCACATAAAAATGTGTTTATACACACAGGTGTTAAACTTATGTTGTTGACCTTCATTCCCTTGATCTAAAATAGCAACGTGACACACATGGGAAGTCCAGACTAGTATATTTTTTGAAACAAGTTTAACAGCCTGGTTTTAAAGGCTAAAATGTTTGCTAATGCAGGCAACATTAACAACTGATAACAACTCTAGGCTACTTGTTGTCCAACAACTGCCGAGAAAAGTTCTGGTTGTAGCTGCTAAATGTTACACGTTGATCAGTCCTTAGCTCTTAGCTACTACTCTGGTCAAGCTAATGGCTACATAGCCTTTAGCTAAGGCTACATAGCCTTTAGCTAAGTAGCTAATGGCAACGTTTTGATATGAAGATAATAGCTAGTGTTGTGTCTTCACTGCTTATGAAGAAATCGCCTCGGAGTCTTCATACTGATTCTTTTATTCCGTATATATAGAACAAGCATCCACGCAACTGTAAACTGCTAAGCTAGCACATGAACACACAGCCGGCGTACCTATCTACATCCGGTGATTTCAAAATAAAAGTTCGAACATTACAGCTAGGTAAATGGGCATTAGCTTCCTAGCAAAGGGATAAATTTATCTGCCACTTGATGCCGGGCAAGTAGGGTACATCTGGTTCATCAGAGTTTTCTAGTGACAAGTCTGAAGAGAACAAAAAGAACCTGTTAAACAGTATAGTTATGAAGCATTGCAAAAAATTGTTTAAAAAAATTAAAAAACAATTGTGTATATTAGCTTTTCCTTTCCTTTTGTGCACATATATATATGTCTCTATAACATATTGGGCTATTAGGGTCATTTCAGAACTACAGACAAAGGACATAAATTGTTCAGAATAAAATTAAATAGAAGCTTTCCCACATCTTTATGAATTTTGCAAACTATTTAGGTCATAAATATTCTGTGCAGAAAAAGCAAGCATGCTTTCTTTCTTTCCTAATGATTTCTGTTGGCATTTTAATTCCACAGCTGAATTAGCTGACTAATAGCTTTGTTTATTGTGTTGCCATACAATCAGGCATGAGAAACCATGAATCCGTATTTGCATTATCACCAACACTATATTCATGAGTGGCTTGTTCTTTGTGTCAAGATATATGAACAGTGAGCCTTACATACAGGCCACTACCAACGTATTATGGAAATATTATACACTGATATTATAAAATGATCCAGTTTAATAATTAACTGTATTTTAATTTGAAACTATTCATAAATGATTGCTGCTATAGGTATTTATTATATAGCTCAAAATACCTTTTCATAAATCTGAACAACTAAAATGTTTATTATGTCATTAAAGCAAATTTCCTTAGTATAAAAAATCAGCTGTGTTAAGCTATTGTGGTGGGACTGGTTTACACTAACGTGCAAGTAGTTATGGAAGTAGTTTTCTTGTGAGCCAAACTGTGTTGCTCTAGCTGTTTTAATACAGGTTGAGGTAGTTTATACACTGGGTGCAGTCTTTTTCCTCTGTGTGTATCCTATTCTCTTAGGGTGTCTATGTAACCTCGGACTGCAGAACTCTGATCCTTACTGCAAGATGACATCAGAAACATTGCACGAACTGCCGCTCAACGTCTACATAATCATCCTGGGCATTGGCCTCTTCATCCTCATGCTCAGCCTCATCTTCTGCTGCTACCTGTTCAGGTACAGGACAAAAGGCAGTGCAGCTTTAGAGCTCCTGCATCAGATAGCTCTACAAAACTCTTATATTTGTGTGTTTCTATGAACTAGTCACCATTTAGTCATGTGCATTAATTCATTCTAAGTCTGTCAGACTCTCAGCGGAATTGGTCTCTAATTCCAAATAGTAAATGGGTCTTTCTCTTTTAATAAACATCATAAAATCTGTTGTTAAGTAGACAGAATTGTACACCTAACTTACAAATACAAATAACAAAAGAATCAAAAATAGTTCCAAGACATATTTAATCCTCCATTCACTTATACAGGATTTTTTTTTTACCTATATTGGAGTGTGTTACAAAACAAAACATCTTATTTCTCAGTTTCTTGCAACTGTGTTTCATCCACAGCCAGACTCATTTCTTCGTATCATCTTTTATCATTTGGCATTCATATGGGAGTTGAAATGAGTCACATGAAACTATCAGTCCAGCTGAAACAAGCTAAATTATATTATGGGGTGGGTTCACATGAGCAGATCTTAATGGCTGACTCTGAACATTAGGAGATAGTATTTTCCGCTGTCATTGCATTATGTGGAAATACATGGAACATTGTTGTTTGACAAAATGAAGTGCTGACAGAACAGGTTTAGGACAGGGTGCTGCTTTCAAGCACTAGCATTCCTGGAAAAAGTCAGTGTAAATGGATTGATGAAGTCATGTTTCATCAGTCATATTGTGGTTTCACTAGCAAAGGTGTAGCGAAGATACCCTGGAGACAAAGGTGCTTTTACTTATCCTTCAAATTTAGTAAGGGATTGGTGAACTAGCTATTTGCTTGTTCCCCAAACCCAAAATAATGCTAATCTATTTATGCTTTACACAGCTTGTGATCAGTGCAGTAAAACTGAATTTCAGCCAGATTTTTTTCCTACAAGCGCACATTCCTGACAGAGTTACAGTTCTGCTCAGTACAAGAGTGGATGGACAGGCTGATACATGAATTTCACGTTGTGTGAATTCCAGGCCTGCTCAAAGTACTATCCCAGCTGATTCCTACAGCATGACAAGACTTGTAATGGTGAAGACAGATGTGGAAGCATCAGACATAGTTTAGAGCTTTCATGTATCTAAATAATAATATGTTTCTTATTTGTGCTTCACAGACTGAGGCGACGAGGTGCTAGAGGGCAGTACGGCTACAACGAGGTAATATATTGATATTGTGACCAATATGACAAGTGCCAAATTGTAATCCAGTTACACTTGCGCTTTTTCTAGAGAACTGCCATTTATATGTATATATTTTACACAAATCCCTTCTTCTCAACAGGTTGTTTTAAAAGGAGCGGAGAAGAAACTGAGCCTACTTGGTGTAAGTTAAAGGGGCAAACTGGGCTGAGATGAACAGGAACCAGAGCCAGTGTTAACTATTTAAAAGATATTTGTTATACATCCTTTTTGTTAAGTGATTTAAACTGTGAAAAGCAAAACTAAATAAAGGGATTAAATGGAAGCCTAATTTACTGCTGAGCTGTAGTAAATCTGTAATTCAACCAAAGAAATAGGGAACCATTGTTTGGTGTGACTGCAGCGTAAATATAGGATAGGATCAGATAAGTGTAAACTTCATCCTACTCCTTTGACTCTTATGACAAAATGCCATCATATTTTTAAAGGTCAAATAAGAGGAGACCATGTAAAAGCATTATACATTATGTAAAACCTGCCAGTTACTTTTAGAACTACTTTTTTAACCATTAGCTGCTGGTTTTGAGGTTTAGCTAGCTACAGCAATTACAGTCATGTGAAAGTTTTCACTCAGAGTAATCTAGGCAGTCCTGTGAAAAACTAAGTACACCTGTACTGCTTCATTGAAATTATGACAGTAAATAACAGCCACATTTTAAATAGACTCTAAAGTCTAGCATTTACCCAGTATATATGAAGGGAAGGTTTTTTATGATAGTCAGATAGTCACCTGTCTGATGCCATACTCTTCAGCGAATATTACAAGTCATCAGATGTAACTAGCAGATTTTGTTGAATATGATGCAAACTTCTACAACAAAAATGAAGTGGCAGTATGTTCTTAGAAAGAATTTTTGTCTTCTTTGCTAGAGTTATTTTTCGTTTTCCCACAGGAGGGAACTATGGTGTGAACTAACACAATGATTTTTGGGGTCATAATTGGATAAAAATGGCAAAAATTGTCAGATATGGCTGAAAAAAGTATGCCAATCTATGGATTTGGCATCTAGATTTAGATTAATCAAAAGTGAAACATACAAACAGGTGCATAGTTGGCCCATACATAGTAATTTACAATCTGGTAACATGCACAATTGATTGGAGTTTTATTTTCAAGTTCGATGTGACAAATTTCAGTCTACTTTTCAGCGTTGTCATCCCGCTTTCTCCTACACAAAAACAGTTTTTGCCTCACATTTGGCTTTTAGTGATCTGGTCAGTCTACAGGGCCTGGGCACCTTGCAGTCACTGAGTCAGCCATTAACTCCTTTGTATACCAAAGTATTCTGAGTCAAATATGCCATCTGTCTGACAGATAAAGCTTGACCCAAACTGGGTCATAAAACAGGTCAGTGATCCCAGGTACAGATGCAAATCTACAACCCGCATGGGTAAAAAAAGAAAAGAATCAAAGTTACCCAGTCAAAGTCCAGACCTCAACCCAGCTGACACGCTGTGACAGGACCTTTGTGCATAAACAAATGCCCACAAAACTCAGTGAACTGAAGCCACATTGTGTAGGAGCCACTGATAAAGTCCTGCAGACTTTACTTTAAGTTATGGCTGTTACAGGTGCTCCACGGGCATGGCTTCATGACTGTAGCTACCACTTTGTGCTAGATGTTATGTATTTATAATTCATTATTTTAGCAGTTTGATACATCATAATAAGCATAACTAGATTTTGGAAAAGTAAAGCAATCGAATAACTGATTAAATGCCAAAATTGGTATTGTGGTTATTCACCCAAGAGAAACAGGCGAGGTACTCACTGCTAGCAATAAATGTGTGCTTCAGGAGCTTCAGGAAGATCTCTGAAAAATTATAGTAACTGCTATATCTTAATGTAACTTTTAAGCTACCAATGAGCGAATGAAAAGATGGTCTCTATTGTGAAATCACACCCAGATGTTACACAATAAGTGTAAAAAAAAAGGTAGTCGTTTTGAATTTTGAATTAAACCGTCATTTGGCCTTTTCAGCAAACATGTGCGGTGTGCTTGGAAGAGTTTCGCAGCAGGGACGAGCTTGGAGTGTGCCCGTGTTCCCATGCTTTTCACAAAAAGTAAGTTGTTTAGTACATCATTCCATGGTAATTATCAAACCTTCATGAGAGCAAACAACTGACTCCATGTTACGAAAACTCCAAACTCAAAACATGTTTCATTTGTTTTAGTGGTTTCACAAACTTGTAATCATGCACCTAAGCTGACTGCCTGACCGTGGCTCCATTCGTCTTTTTTAAAGCTTAAAAGTTTTAGTGAAATGTGCAAGGATCTCGACCAGCTGGAGAAACGACATGTGCAAATTTCTTGCTGGTCTCTGCCTTCAATTAGCAGCTGACGCAGTCACCGAGGCCGTAGAATTTGGAAAAAGATGCCCAGCAACGCTCGCAGGAAATGACTACCAGATTTCTAAGAACTCTTGACCGTGCATGTTTGAACAGGAGGACCTTTGTAACTGAGCCTTGAATTTACCCTGCAGCTTAGGTGTGACAATAACAGCAGCAGTTTTAGACCAGCTTCTGGAATGTACATGCTGTTTACAAAGTGTGTGAGCTGTCACTGTTCCTGTATTTCTCTTTTGTTGTGTTTTTAACCACTAAACCATCACTGGGTCGCCAGGGATCTTTTTTGGGGCAGGGTAGGTTCAGTTCATATTGACCCTTTTATATAGACTTTTCACCTACTTGGTGTATTCAGGTTTAAATCTTAAAATAGGAAAGCTGAAAGGCCAAAATCCATGTAAAGGAGCTGAGTTAAAAGGTAACATGATCTTGCTTCTGGGACTGTGCTTGTTTAACATGTTGCTAAAATGGAACCTTAAGTATTTCTCTGGTGATCTGATGGATGCTACGTGGTTAAAACTGAACCTTTTCACATAACTTTGCAACTTTGTGTCTTTGCCTCATGTCTATCCACATTTATGCAGGTGTCTGCTAAAATGGTTAGAGATTCGCAGCGTGTGCCCCATGTGCAACAAGCCCATTTGTCGCCTCCAGCCTGACCACCAGCAACCAGTGCCTCAGAGTCTCCTGGAGGTCTGAGAGTGGAGCGTACGTCCAGCAGCACTCCACGGCTCTTCAGTCAATTGACCTGTCACTGTACAGAATCCTGTTCCACAATCTGACACACAGTACTTTTAGTAATGTGAGTATTTATGAGGCAGAGCTCTTCTGAAAGTGAAAATAAATATAGATATGAGAGTAAATAAGGAAAGCCAAAGAACATTCCCGGCAAACTGAATAAGGTGAGAGATTGGAATGGTAACCACATTTAATCTGTATGTACACGGCATTCATGATAGAGTTGCAGTAGGTTGAAATCAACCAAAGGCAGAAAAAAGGAGAAAGTTCAAAAATAACCAGCCATCTCATATGGCTTTCCCATCATTGAATTCACAGAACTCAAACCTCTCTCTCCCACCTGAAGGTCCTGCATGTTCCTGCTTGGAATTCATTTCTTTAGATAAAAGGTGTACACTTGCAATTTAGAGTCTATTAATTTAGTTTGGTGTTATTCTCCCTTTGTGCAGCCATGCACAGCTCCAAGTGCTCTGGGTATGTTTGGATCACCCACTCATGACTAGCTTTGCAGACACAAAACAGACTTTTTTTAAAGTCAAACTAACACAACCATGATAGCGATGATCATCACTATCGACCATAGCTGGGAATGGCCCAGAGACCAGAAAGCAGTTTCTAGTGGAGGACTTGTTTAAGGCCAAAAAGGCATATGAGGTCAGAAGGTAGCACTAAGTTTTTCAGTTTTGGCTCTCTTCAAGTTTGTCCTCTTTTCCCAGCTGGCATCAAGTGAGGTTTGACTGTTTTGAACAGAGGTGGAAGAGATTCAGTGAGCATGGGCACACCAAGAGTTAGCAATCCAAGTGGAGCAGACGTGGAGGGAGAGGTGCAGCACTTCACAGTGGGATAATCTGGAGTCAGATTTAAATAAAGCTACTTTTTAATGGTGTGGTCACAGAATTATTATTTCACCTCTTGGCGATCAGCTATTCCAGTCTGTGCGGATTGCCTCGCCGATCATGAGCTAGCTTTTTAAAGCCTGAAAACAAAACCCAGAGAAAGTGCAGCAGTCCACTTTCCTCTGCAACTGCTGGATTACAGCGTGCTGGGAGGTTATCGATTTTCTTTTTTTTCATTGTTGCCAAAACGATTTTGTCCACTGTAGCTTTAACACAGTCAAGCCAGATGTGTAAACTAATGGACAAGTGCCTTCAAGATGCATACAATGCAAAGCCCACTAAAAACAGATGAAGTATTTAAGAGACTTTGTAATATAAAAGAGAAAAAGAAACTGGATTTGAAGTGAAAAATGTAGCATCCATGTAGTTTTGTCAAAAAAACAAACAAACAACAAAAACAACAATAACTCAGACCACAAATCATGCTTCCCTTCATCAACCTGTGATGACAAAGTTGTTACGATTCGTGTTTGAAATTCAGTTTGCTGGTTATGGTGGAAGAGTCGGTGCTACATGTGAACAGTGAAAGTGAAACTTGTCAGACATAAGTCTAAACTTCAGACTTCAAAAGGCTCCAGTTTAATATAGACACAAGTTTTGCTTCAGGTTGTTGATCAAGTGGGGTCAGATAATATAGCTTTACTATAACTGAACTAATGAGATTATTTCTGCCTTCAGAGCAGCTCTGCCTCTGAGAAATGTTTGTATGACAAACTCCAGTCTGCTTGTTTTTTTTGTTCTTTTACTTTACCCAAAAATGACATGCAGCTCCTTGTGAACATGATTTGCTTTGATCGTTTGCTACATTTTCATAGAGCCTGAGAAAAAAAGTGCAGTCTCTTGACAATGTTATGAAGAGATCTGAACCTCCTTTGTCTCTGTGTGATGAGACGACAACGATGATGATGATGATGATGAATGCAGAGACTGTAAAGAAAGTGCAAAATGACCCACGGGGCTGATTTAACTTAAGGAAATGGGATTATTTTGAACTAACAAGAGGAAGAGGTGTATTTATTCAGGTGTATCTACTATTTCTCAGTCAGCTCTGTACTATACTGGGTTGCCAAGCTGAGTGAAGGTAGCCATGTCCCAAATGTCTCGAGTGACTCACCCACTAAAATATACCTGATTTTGATATTTGTTTCTTCTTCTTTAAAAAAAAAATCATAACAAGGTTTCAGTAAAATATACTGTGAGTCTGTGATGACACAGCACTTTTGCAGGAGTGCTAACATGAACTAATTCATCTTTAAGGCAATCTTAGCTCCCCATGTGTGAAGAGCTACACTTGCTAAAGTAAGAAGGGACTGAAGTGACATGAAAGAGCCTGTCCGAGAACAAGTGAGGTACATCATAATTATAATTCTCTGTGTTCACCATGTTATACAGGTTAAGTACTGTGTAAACTGTAACTATAACAGTTTCTGACTTCTAAAATATATTCAGTACAATCAGCTTTTTGATAAGGTTGTCTGGACCCACGTCTTTTTTTTTTGTCTAGATTTGTTACATGTACACAATTAAAACTGTTTATTTCTATGTTGTCATTTTAATATATGAAAGAAAAGCCTGTTGGTACTCTCGCTATATTTTAGCAACTCTGATCTTTTACAATGTGTCCTCATACAGAATAATCACAGTGTTATAACCAATGAGGTGCCACCTTATCAGTGCTATATAAATGTACCCACCAATAATTCTGTGTAAGTTTAAATGCAGTTTGTTGTTATCTTTTTAGCAGTGTCTTTGGTGTTGACAACCTCAGCCTGTTGGTTCGTCTCTCCATCAAACACTTTGAGCTTTGAAGAAACCAGACAATTATTGTACCGCTATGGGATGCTGTAAAAACCATAACTGGTCCCCAGTGGGGATCCAGATTACTTTAAAATTAAAGTATTCACATATCTGTTGACGTTTATCCAGCACCTTCATTCAGTCAAAAATTTAATCTGTGTTACATTTTATGGTTTGTGCCTAAATGTCTGTGTAGGTTCTCAGTCATAAAGTTCATGGTAGACTTAAATGCTTGAAATGAAAGCAGCTGGACCTCTTTTTGGTTTCACCTTTCATCCAAGAGGCTTCTTTGGTTTAATCCAGCAAACTGAAGAAGCCTTAATGGTTTGCAGCCACATATCAAAAGAATTACAGGCTATTTTCATCAGCGTACCTGCTAATCCACTGACATGCTAAACTAAAATAGCAAACATTACTTTTGAAACATTAGTAATGTTAGCATTATTACTGTTAGTTTGCTAGCATACTGACCTCAGCATTCAGCTTCAAAGTTCTGGTGTGCCTGTAATAACAATCTGATTATTTCATATCACCATTTCTGCCTGTATTTATTACAGGAAGTCACGATATACTGAACTCTCAGACAGTCGATTCTGTTCATCTGTAATGTTTTCAGAGGGAGAAACATTTCCTCTCTCATCCAAGTGACTTCTTCTGACTGCAAGCTTCATCAACCTGTCTCAACCCCAACCTAACAGAAACTAGCACCACTGACTAGCATTGGGCCATGAGGTCAGTTTAATGATCAATAATATGAAAACTGTCACGACCATTGATCAAACGTCATGAGTGCCTTACAGAGAGAGTTGGAAAATGGCTGCATATGTACACTTGGGCGCCCTCCTCAGTTCAGAAGTGTGTGTTTCCTTTTTTCATGTAAATGGTCTCACTGACGTCCCGCTCAAACCAGCGTTCCTCCCTGTCTAGGATGTGTACAAGTGAACAAGTGCCCACTGGCCTGTAGGTGTAACAGACTGTGGAGTCCTGACCCAACGAGGTAGTTCTTCTGTGTTGTGCCATCCACTTAGCCGGAGGTTGTTTGGTTTCCAGGAGTTAGAAATCACAGGTCCTCCTGGCTCTTCACCGCATACATTATAATCTGCTTGTGCCGGGGGATCGATCCTTGGGGTGGACCAGTTTATAATGTTTACATCTAAGTCTTCTTAACTCATAAACAGAATTTCTGGTCTACTACAGGGTCTTTACAGGGACAAATAAGCCACCGTACAGGTACAAAGATGCACGTCTTACTGCATAAATATGCACAACACAAAAGCAGAGACAAAAGAAAGCTGTTGCACAGAGTCAGCAAATGTCTGGAAATTCCCTGCTCAGGTATGACATCAGGGTATTTGTGCAAGAACACATCAATTGTGTCACGAAAAGGTTTTCAAAGATGCTAACTATTGATTGTTGACACTGATTAACCGGATTACCTGCAGACACTTGAAAAGGCAGAAATTTCATTTGAGTCCCCAAAACACCACACTACAAATGTTCTAACATCTATATTCCCACATGCCCTGAAAGTAGTCCACAGTTCCTCATAAAGTAAATATTTAACTTCAAGAAGTCTCAGATATCAGCATGCATTCAGTGTTCTGCAGACAAATTACCTCATTACAGCAAGTGGAGAGAATGATTAGAAGATAGAGAGGATAATCGCAAAGGGAGGGGATAAGCTGGTTCACAGGTTCTCTCAGTACATGACTTGTTGCCTTAATTATAAATAGATATCAAAGAGCATATGGTTCTATTTATGTTTTCGTCTTTGTCTGGAATGGTTGTTTTTGTTTCCTTGGCATCCATGCGTGTATAAGCAATCAAATCTCTGGGCTTAGTGACTCACCTAATGTCTCTTTCCTCTTTCTGGGTGCACAACTCTAAGTGGCTGTAGTCTCTCAGTCAGCAAATGGGCTGATTGTTATCCTCCTGCAAGATGATGCCACATCTGGCATAACCTGACTCGAAGAAAACAAAACAAATAAACCAGGAGGATGAAGAAAAACTTTATCGTATTTGAGAGTGTAATAAAGGATAATACATCCATCTACTCATGATACATATTGTACTTTATGGTTCACATAAAATGAACATGTGTCACATGATCTCAGATATACAATACACAAGCTAGTCACTGTTATTCCTGCCTCTTCATTCCCAGGAACTGACTGTTGTATTCCATCATCAGCACAGGGATGTACCAGAAGTCACTTCCCTAAACAAAAAAACACAGAGGCAACCCGATGTCACACAACTCAACAACAACTCACTGTTGTTGCTATTTTGACTTTGTGGATTATAAAGAAGATGTGATTGAAGTTCAGCTTTAGTTTAATGTTTTTAACAAAAATAAAATGGAAAAATTGTTTTTTTACTCGGATGAAAATCCCTTGCAGCTGAAGACTGCAATACCTTAAGCTGCAGCTTGTTTGTGAGTCTTTTCGTTAACTGAAAAGTATACTAAAAAAAAACAAGTTGGGTTTTTTCCATTTTTAATAAAACAAAGAGTGGAAATACCTCCAACACACAAACATTTGACAACCCAGCATGCAATTAATTTGCACAAATGTAATGTCTTTGATATGCTGCTCAGAGATGGTCGTGACTCTCAAATCGGAGCCAGTGATAACTCTTCCTCTATGCTGTTGCATGCTGGGGCGGCAGGTGGGGTGTTGCAGATGCCAACGGTCACAGGAGCACGCTCAGTGAGAGACTGAGATTACACAAATGCACCACAGAACGACACAGGAAGTCATCCATGCCTGTACAACTCCTCCATCTAATGCACAGTACACAGAGCAATAGTTACTTTTGCACATGCTCTTCAGTGAAATTAAGAAATAATAAAGTTTGACAGGTTAGAGTAAAATGTCAGTCATATGTATCTCATCTCTGTAATATTCTGGATATTTATAATTGAGCTATTTATATATATCACAGCTATTTCTTATATATTGTAAACTTTATAATATATTTTATTATTTAATTTAGTTCAGTCGGTTACTGTTCTAATTGTCTTGGATTAATAAAGATTCCGATTCTCTCCCCTGTGGAACAGAAACTAAATTAGAGTTCCTAGGCTCATTTAAACTTAGGTGGCATTGTTGCAAGGTAGCCAGAATTCTGTCACTAGTGGGGCATTGTTTTGTAAGCTTTCTGTTTACTCAGATCAGTGACTGCCAACTTCCCCCTCATGCCACATCAATCATTAACCCCAGTTTTACAGCAGGACCCAAGTTTTCCCAGCACAGCACTGCCTTCGCTGGTTTGTGTTGTTCCCGCGGTGCATCCTGGTACCAGGCAGTCGCCACCTACACACAGGCTCATGCACCGAGGCATGTATGTGATGTAAAAGAGGACGTGATTCATCCGACCAGGACACCTTCTTCTATTGCTCTGTGGTCCAGTTCTGATGGTCAAGTGCCCATTGTTGGTGCTCATAGTGGTGGATAGGGGTCAGCATGGGCAGCCTGACTGGTCTGCAGCTATGCAGCCCAGTACACAGCAAACTGTGACGTTCTGTGTATTCTGAAACCTTGCTTTTTACTGACTCTAGCACAGCAACTTTGAGGAAAAAATGGCCACTTGCTCTCTAATATATCCCACTCAGGTTCCATGATCACTGTGCATGTTGGTTGTGTTATTGTTTCCCATCTTTTAAGCTCCTGTTTTCTCTGGTTTTAATCATGTAACACATGTAATGCAGAAATAATGGGTCCAGCTCTACAGCAGCATTTACATTTATTATTATACTGAAGTTGTGTTATTGTTGCTTTTGTGTTGATCTGTATATGTAACAGCATGCAGAGGTCACAGGTCACCGAGAGCAGAGCACGGTGCCGGCTGCTGATATCTTCACTGTGGGGCACCTCCGTCTTCCACGAGGTGAAAAGATAAAGCGAAGGTGGTGAAGGGCACTGTTTAACAAATCTCTGAGCCTCAAGGCACTGGAGAAGTCCGGCAAGACCACACAGGCTTTTCTCTTAAATATCTGCACGGTCATAATACAGAGCATACATGTTAAAACAATAGAAACAGTATTTAAAACTTTCAGTGCTGTGTACATATGTATTTCTCTGAATCAGTGCTTTTAAATGCTGGAGAGTAAGCACCTTTACATCAATGGTGGTCGGAGGGAGGAGGCTGAGCAGCAGGTCTCTTTCATACCAAGATCGTGGGAGGTTATCAATTTCAATAGACACAGTCTGACGAGAGAAAAACAAAAGATTTCATAAAATTATCAAAACATCCATCATCAGCCATAAAAAAAACAAACCTTTAGATTTTTTTTCTTTTTTGTGGGAGTCCAAATGTTTCATTACCTGTCTGTAAGCTGGAAACAGTGGTTCCCACAGAATGGGACGTCTGTGCAGTGGGCGGTAACTACAGCTGCCTGGTGGTGCTCGATGGGGACGTTCGGATCTTTTATCCTTGGGGCCCTCTCTGACCTCCCTGATGCCTACTTGAGCTACGAAGAAGACTTTGGTGCTGCTCTTCATTTCCCTCAAAGCCACGGCAGCTTCATCGGCACTGCGGTAATGCATCATCCCGTATCTGTGATTGTTTTTCACAATCGTCTGAAGTACGAGAGGAAAATCGTGAAGCAAATGAAAGTGAATTTTGCATTTCTAAAGCACGTTTGTAAGACAGTTACCTGAACAGAGATGACACATCCAAAAGATGAGAACATGCTGAGCAGATCCTTGGCAGTAACAGCTTGGTCAGAATTCAGATAGACTTTCATTTTCTGTCAGAGTAAAGCACAGAGTCAGACAGCAAAGCACAGAGCTGACGTCCTGTTATGATCCTCAGAAAGCAGAAGGGAAACGTACGTCGGTCCACTCAACATTTCTCCAGTCTGAAGGAACCGTCTGTTTGGAAACCTCACTGGGTGCATAGCAGTTTTCATATCTGATGGCGTCCATTGCAATTATGCATCAAAACTTAACTGTAATTTCAGAATACAGCTTTTGAGTGCAGATTTGGTCACATGTCAACTGAAGAAAAACAAAAACAAATTTGTAAAATAAGCAGAGTTGTAACCAAGTGTAGGCCTGTGACAGAAATCCTAAAAGTAAGACACCGTTACAGCTTTGAAAATAAATTTGATTCAAACCAGTTTGTTTCCTAGCAACATGATGCAAATCTGCACCTTACAGCAGAACTAACTTAATTTTGGCATTCAGACCCCATTCATATTCTAAATAATATTTCATGTTGTGAAATAGAAAACATGGACTCACACGTCCAGGGCGAGTGATGAGTTTTGTTCAACTATTTAACAGCAATTCTGGACTCAAGTGACGCGTGAATGTAAAAATGCCTTACTGTTACTTAAAGTCATGACATGAAAAGAAAAGTGGTTTTCACATATTTGACTGTAGACATACAAAGTACAGCTGGGAATGCCTTTTGTTTGTTGTTGTTGTTTGCAGAAAGGTGGCTGTCAGAACAGTATGATTTGTGTCCTTGGAAAACTGAATTCTGCAACTTCTTTTTCCAACGTTTTAATTTGCAGCTACGCACCGAGGCTGCTGGCACTTTAAATTCTCTTTTTGCTGGTTTTTATTGTTGTTTTCATATCTAAATACCAGGAGAAAGATCGTATCTGTGTTCTCATTAGGATTGGGATTTTTGTAGGCTTAGCCTATGGCCTATAAGTTTACTTTGTTAAATGCTAGTTATGACACAGTGTGTTTCACTTCTCTTATGGAGAAGTGTGAAAGTAATGTCATGAGTACTGTAATGAATTACTTTCTCCTTGAGTTGGTACTTAACATACTGCGTTACTTTTTAGTAACAACAACAACACTGATAAGAGCAGAAACAGCTCCAATGTGCACAGACAACATCCACAGCAAGCAATTAATTTGCATGAATGCCTGATATACTGCTTAGTGACGACGGTGACTCTGAGAGTGGAGCCAATGAGAACCCGGGGAACTGATAAGGAATCAGGATGGTTGAATTCTTATCAGTTCCCATCTCTGCTGAAATACACTTCCTACAGGTAAACGACGACATAACTGAAAACAATTCCTGTTTTGAGAGATCATTGAGCTCAGCCGTTAAAAAATAGAAAAATATGTTTTTACTGTTGGTATTTCACAAAATGACAGAAAAAACCTTTCTTGTGAATTAGCTGACGAGCTCTGTTTGTTGTTTTGTTTTTTAAAAAATTACAGGATAAAGTCCAAGTAAGCTGAGAGTACTTTCTGTAAGTCTACAGATTTATTTCTGATCGTGTGATGTTTACTTTCCTGTTCAGTGGTTCCTTCCGGTTCATGTTCCTCAGAGAGGTGCTACATTAACACAAGGCCCCCTAACACTGATGTAAGGTCTGTTCTAAATGCTGCTTTGGTTTATCTATAACAGCATGTCTTAACTGTGATGGTCATATCAGTGCAACGTGTAACTCCATTAGGACTGCTTATCTCTATGTTACCATGGAAACAAAGGTGACTTAACGCAGGAGGCTGTGTGTAGCAGATGAGAGAGCGGAAAACTGTGGTGATATGAAGCAGATCACAGAGATGAGGGGCAAGGTTATGAATACACTTAAACGTGAGAACTAATATTTTAAAGTTTATCCTGGCTTCTATGGGCAACCAGTGAAGCTGTTGAAGAAGTGGGGTGATATAGTCTCTAAATCAGGGGTGTCCTGCAGGTTTTAGATCTCACCCTGGGTCAACACACCTGAATCACATGATTAGTTCATTACCAGGCCTCTGGAGAACATCAAGACATGTTGAGGAGATAATTTAGCCATTTAAATCAGCGGTGTTGGATCAAGGAAACATCTAAAACCTCCAGGACACCGGCCCTTGAGGCCTGGAGTTCGACACCTGTGCTCTAAAGGGAGTACGAGTTATGACCAGAGCTGCAGAATTCTGAAGAAGTTGAAGTTTATGGAGGGACTTCCTGGGGAGACCAAATAGGAGGGAGTTGCAATAATTGATTTGGGAAGTAATAAGACTATGGACAAGGATGGCAACATCCCAGGGAGTAAGGAAGGGATGAAGTCGGTTAATGTTACGTAAGTGAAAGTATGCAGACTGGGTTATGTAATTAATGTGAGGCTGAAATGAGAGAGTACTGTCAAGTATGACACCCAAACTCTTTACCTGCGGGGATGGAAGGATGGGGAAATTTTCAATATTAATGGGGAAACTGTGAGATTTGGTTAAGGTAGAGGCTGTGCCAACGACACACGCCAACTGTTAAGTTTGAGAAAATTGGAGGAGAACCAAGATCTGATCTCCATAAGACACTTCAAGAGGGAGGTAGGTGGAAGGGATGAATTAAGTTTGGAGGAAATATAGAGCTGGGTGTCGTCAGCATAACAATGAAAATTTATATTATATTTTTGGAATATTTGGCCAAGAGGGAGCATGTAGATAATGAATAAAAGAGGCCCTAATACTGAACCCTGGGGCACACCAGCAGAAACAGGATAGAGACTTGAAGAGTAGGAATTAAATTGGATAAACTGAGTGTGGTCTGAGAGATATGAGGTGAACCAGGCAAGGGAGGTGTGACTAATGCCAATGGATGCTAATCTGTTCAGTAGGGTATTATTAGAAACTGTGTCAAATGCCGCACTAAGATTAAGAAGGATGAGAATGGTTAAAAGACCAGAATCAGCTGCCATCAGAAGGTCATTCGTAATCTTTAACAAAGCAGTTTCTGTACTATGAATGCAGCGGAAACCAGACTGAAATTGTTTGTAGAGATTATGGTCATTGAGGTATGAGTGAAGCTGGGAGGCAACAACTTTCTCAAGGATTTTCAAAATAAAGGGGAGGTTTGATATAGGGTGAAGGTTATCAGAATTATTGGGATCTGCAGCAGGCTTTTTGAGAATTGGAGTGACAGGAGCAGTTTTCAGGGAGAGAGGAATAATTCCAGTGTTAAGGGAAGAGTGGATAATACTAGTTATGAGAGGAGCCAGTGAGGGAAGACAAGCTTTAACTAACACAGTGGGAAGAGGGTCAAGCTGACAAGTGGATGATTTAGATTTTTGAATAAGATTTGATACATCAGCTATGGAGGGAAGAGTAAAAATGAAAATGACTGGGAGGAAGACAGAAAGTCTACCTCACAGTTTATGAGTGAAAAACTATATAAGAGAGTTGCGAAAGTCAGCAGAGTCTATATGAGAGGGGAATCAGTCCGGAGGTTTTGTAATTTTACTAAACAATGAAAAGGGAGACCTGGAGTTACCTTTACTAGAGCTGATTGAACCAGAATAGTATGCAGATTTGGCTGAAGCAATGCAGATATGATCATTATACATTTCTTTGTGTATGGTAAGTCCAGTTTTCTTGAACAGATGTTCCATTTGGCGTCCTTTAGCTTTGCGATGGCGCAGGTTAAGAGTAAACCATGGTGCTGAACGGGAAAATGAGACAGTTTGGTGTTTAAGTGGAGCAAATATGTTAAGAAGGTTGTGGAGGTTGACATTATAGTGAGAAACAAGTTCATCTGGGGATGAGGTGCTGTGAACAAATGGAAAATCATAAATGGCAGATGAAAGATCAGCAGGGTTAATATTATTAATTTTCCTAAATGTGATGTCACGGGGAGTACAGGTTTTTGAGGCTGTTGTATTTACAGTAAAAGAAATAAACTTATGATCAGATCCTTATTTGGCTTAGGTGGCCGGTACACAGTACATATAATAGTGGGAGTAGATCCAAGTAGCGACGTTATCAAATGAGTGGAAGGGTGACAGGGAGAACTTTCCAGTGCTTGTGGTGAATTATCGCGAGGCCGCCCGGAGTTGCGAGGTTGACAGATGTAAACAAACTCAGATGGAGTAGAGCCATTAAGTGAAACAAAATCAATAGGCTGTTGCCACGTTTCAGTCAAGCAGCAGCCTATAGTTAACTTTCTATCTATGATCTCTGGTCACTACATTGCCTGGACTTTATTTCGTGTGGATGGAGCTCTGGTAATTAGTTTAGCCGTTCAGCTCCTTTACTAGCTATTCATTGAAGACTGTCTCAGAAGCACCCTCTGCTGTTCGCCTATTGAATTACAGCCAATTTCTGTGCAGGAAGATTAACAGGAATTTCACTGATTCATTACAAAGTGTCCATTTCCATGAGCCATAAGTATCTCATACAGCGCAGTCAACCCTTCGGTACAACACTTTCAGAGTCATTCACGGGCACATGTCAACCTGCCTAACGAGTCAGAGTCTGTGAAGGTTCAATTGCTTTCTAACAACAGCAGCTACTTAAACACATAAAGACAGGCATACAATTGTTTGTTGAAAGTTTCTTTAAAGAACACTTGGGAGCCACTATATATTCAATACAGTATATTAATTATATATTAGTGATAAAGAAAATAGTAGGTTTTATGTATAATTTATGCTCAAGTCTAGGGTCAGATGACATTTATTTTGAAGTACCCAGACCGGAAGTTGTAATGTAGTCGCCATTCGCCGAACACGAGCGAGGGAAATTGAGTTGTTTATATGAGCATGAAGAAAGCAACAAAGTGCATTAAGTTAGGACGTGATATCGTTTTATGTTAAATGTAACTTTTAGGCATTAGTACGTCTGAAGGATGTTTTTTACTTAGTCATTTTCAGTAACGTTAGCTGCTAGACGGTTGCCGCTTTCACGTGCGTTTTTTTTTCTGGTGTTGCATGTAATAAGCCAGCTAACGTTAGCCGCCTAGCCGAGCGTGGCTAACTTAAAAACAAGTTTAGCCAGCCTTAAAGAAAACGTCGCTCGTTAGTGCAAAGTTGAAATTTAGCCAGAGGAAGCTGTTTAAGTTTCCATTTTGGCCGTAACTAAAAGAGACGAGTGAAGGGTTTTGAAGCGGGAATGTCATCGCCTCCGTTAGGTCGCACGAGTCATGAAGGGTCAGCGAACGCATCAGACAGCGACTCCGAGGACGAGGTGCGTTTACCTGTTTTTTTTTTCCTGCTGTTTATTCATAATGGAGGCGGCTTTTCATGCTGTTCTGACAGTTATATCTACTGTTCAAGAGCTGTCCTGCCCACTGAACTTAGCAGAACAATGCACTACACGGAATGTACACGTTAATATAAATAGTAGCTGACG